TCTGTCTGTTCTCAGCATATCCTGTTCTAAAGCCTGGTACTCTAGTAGCTTTGATTCTGACCCAAGTTGGCCTCCCTTCCTTAAGATACCCGCTATGTGGCCAAAACTCAATAATACAAAGAAAAGCTCCTGAAAAAAAATCACTGTGAAATTTTCTATTAGAATTGAACCATGACCAGTTAGAGAATTTCAAAGAACTGAGCCCTAACCCAGGTAACAATAAGCAGTGCCCACCTAATTTCATTATGTAGAGTATTCTAAAGAATTTGGGGAATGGTATACTACTGTTAGGCAGAGAAGTGTTTATCTGGACTCTCTCTATGCCCTGGATATCTGAAGTATCCACAACGAGGGTATTTAAAATGCAGTATCTCAAACACATACTTTCTACAGTTGAGCTGAGTCATGGTATCATCACATTATGTTTTTCTATCATTGCAAATTAGGTCTGTCTTCAGTTGCATATTTTATAATTCATTCAACAGATGACATTGAATCTTATTTATTTCACCTAGGATTTTTTGAAATACTTTTTGCCTGCAAACATTTACATTCTTAATAAAAATCCTTCCTTCAAAACTCTGAGATCTATCTCAACCACAAAGGCCAGCCCCTATGGCATTTTTAGCCTGTCTCAGACAAGGCGGCAAGTGCCTAGATACAGAGATACAAGGCACTGCTATGCTGTTGCATGACCCTCACCTTCCTGGGCGGTATGTTCTCTCCCTGTGTCCTCTACAATCACACCCAACATAGGGATAAATACTTAGAAAATGCTAAATGGTTTCTTGTTGGTTGAAATAAAAGAGAGAATTCTCAGCTTATCCGATGCTGCATGGAATTCGGGACATCCCATGTCCCTTGTGAGCTCCTCTGAGAAGCAATGATCATTCATTCATTCTGCAAATGCTACTGAGCACCTACAATGGGCTTAGAGTCTTGCTACTCAAAGTAGGTGCAGGGCTGGCAGAGGCAGCTTCACCTGGGCCCCTGCCATTTCCCTCCACCTGCTGCATCATGAGGGGCATTTTGACAAGATCCCCAGGTTATTTATATGCATGTTAAAACCCAAGAGGCACGGCTTTAGAGGCACTGTAAGGGATAAGATTTTCTTCATAAAGCAGCAATCCTGATATCTAGACTAATAATGATGGGGAAGATATTAAGAGGTACTTCAAAACTGTAGAAGATGGGAGCTTCCCCACGGCCCAGGCATGCTGGAAGATCCTGACACAGGGAGATCCACAGGGACTCGAGGTCTAGGAAGCTGGGGGGAAGGAGGGCTGGGGAAGCCACAGTAGCTGCCCCAGTAGAAGGAAATTCCACCCTCAAGATTGAAATAGAGGGGATGTTCTTAGGGTTCGTGAATTCAGCAAAGTGTACTCTGTGAAAGCTTTAGATGAAAAAGTTATTTCTGGTGGTGGTCTTCAAACTTCAACGAGCATGAGAATCACCTGGTGACACAGATTGATCAAAGAAAGAAACAAAAAAGCAAACAACAGATTCCAGGTCTCACTTCTAGACCTTCTCATTCAGAAGATGGAGAGTGGTGGCCTTCAACCTGAGCTGCCCAGTGGAGTCACCCTTGGAGCTTTAAAAGATACCGATGCCTGGGACTCACCCCTAGAGATCCCAGTTTGATTGAGAGAGGTGAGAGGAGAGAGGTGTAGGCAACAGGATTTTAAAAAATTCCCCAGGTGACTATAATGAGCGGCAAGGTTGAGAACCGTTGATCTCAAACAGTGGGGCTCAATGCATCAGGGTCCCCAGGAGGGCTGGTTCAAACAGATTTCTCCTACCCTAGAGTGTCTGATTCAGTAGGTCTGGAGTGAGGCCTAGAAATCTGCATTTCCATAACATTCCCAAGTGCTGCTGGTGCTGATGGTTTGGAGGCCACGCTTTGAGGACTATTGGTAAATAGGGAAGGAGTTGGGGCCCAGGACTGGCACTTTTTAACATGCAGCTGAGGGATTCTGATGCCAAGTGTCTGAGCCCCACTCTTAAGCAGTGTTCCGTGTGGGCTGTGCAATCTCAGGCTGGCATCCAGGGACCCTCCGTGTTTCTCTCGTTCAACAGCACTGGTCTTTCCCTCCCATTCCTATCTTCCAAGCCAAGCATTCATTTCTAGATATTTACTGTCTGCTATAGTTTGGGTGTTTGTCTCCCCAAACTTCATGTTGAAATTTGATCCCCAATGTTGGAGGTGGGGCCTAATGGGAGGTGTGGGGTCATGGAGGCAGATCCCTCATCAATGGGTCGGTGCTGTTCTCATGGAAATGGAAATGAATGAGTTCTCACTCTATTAGTTTCTGCAAAAGCTGGTCATTAAAAAGAGGCTGGCATCTCCCTGCTACCTTGCTTCCTCTCTCAACATGTGATCTTTGCACACACTGGTTCCCCTTCATCTTCTACCATGAGTGGAAGCAGCCTGAGGGCCTCACCAGGTGCACATGCCTAATCTTGAACTTTTCTAGACATCAGAGTTGTGAGCCAAATAGACCCTTTTAGGTCAAGTTGCTTAACTTCTCAAGGCTTTAGTTTTCCCATTTGTAAAATGGGGTATCTGCCTCAGAGAGCTGATTCAATGAGATAATATGAATATATATGAAATGCCATAGAGAGGGCAGTGCATGGTAAGTACTATACGTATGTTGGCTACTATCCCCAGTAATCCCTCTCAGAAAATAGACAAATTGGACTTCCTCTGGGAAAAGTGATGGTTTCTCTAGCCTCCTGCCTGGAAGGAGTATGGCATTCCCTTTCTGCTGTCTTAGCATTCGATGTATGTCTCTACCATGGCACTATTTTGCTCTATTAGTTAATTTTCTCTCTTTGTCCACAGATGGGTGAGATCTTCTATATCTTGCTCATTTTTGGATTCCCAGCACCTAGCATAGTGCTAGACACAAGACATGCTGAACAACTGAATATGTTGGCTGAACAACTGAATATGTGGTTAGAAAAAAAATTGTCTTGCTGTTTCTGAAGTTGCCTAGAATCATCTGTTAATGAGCAGAAATGATTCTCTAGTATATAACCAGTCTTTCTGTTGAAGAATGGGAGTAACGATTAGAACAGAAATGGTACAAGATAAGTCATTCTCTTCATGTCCACTGATGACGAAGTTACAGGAACATATGATGATGGGTGCATTTGTAAGACATCAGATGTTCTTATAACTCACTGCCTGATTCTCTACTAAAGCTGGCCAGATGCTTGCCAAATTTGTTTCCTTTACCCAGAATGCATTTCTCAGATTCCCTTGTGTCTAGGTGGGACCATATGACTACATCCTACCAGTAGAATTTGAGTAGATCTGATGTGTGTCCCTCCCAGGCTGAGGGGTTAAGGGTCTGGTGGCTTCTCCAGGCTCCCTCTTTCCTTGGCTACCAGCTGGATGCAGAGCCTCCAGGAGGTAACTCTTGGGCCCTAACAGTCGTTGGAGCTCCAGGAGGGGAAGAGGCTGGATCCCTGAATGGCTGAGTGGAGCCCAGTACCCCTCAACCTGTCTCCCATCCCTAGTTGTGAGAAATGAACTTTCATTATTTTAAACCGCTGTATTTGACAGTTGTTACTTCACCCCCCCCCCACTACTCTAAAAACAAAGGAGACCAAAAGTCCCAACTTGGAGTTTTGAAATTTATTGGGGGGGGGGGCGACTTATTTTGATGACCTGTGACACACATGCTCGTGCGGATCCCCGAGGGCCACTCCACTGCCGATAGCAAACATGACACAGTTGCCTGGTCGATGGAAGCAACTGTGCACATCTCTCTTACTAAATTAATTGTCAATGTGAATTTTTACAGTAAAAAATACAAGAAAGTTAATTTGAGGATTTCTAAAGTCGGGGGAAGGCAGAAAGAACCCCAAAGACCCTACAAAAATTCTCTCCTAGATAATTGGTATGGTTTTAAAATTATAGTCTTTCCAGAAAACTGTGGCTTCTGGTGCCTCCTTGGGGCTTCTGTGGAACGGAGCCTTTACGAGGTCTGCCTCATAGGAGACCAAAAGCCACATTCTGTAAACTGGGTTTGGCTTGGCTCAATGTCCCATAGGCCTCTTCACCCTCATTTATTCTCCCCGCCAACTTCATATTACTGGGTGGTAAACTCACCATATTCTGGCTGCTCTTTGGTTTCAAAAGTCCGGTGGCCTGGGGCCGGACGGTCCCACCCCCTGGGGGGGTTGAGGAAGTTGCTGTCATCTGAGGTACTGTCGTACTTGTAGTCCTGGTCCCCGCTGTTTGCCCTTGCCAAGGACAAGGACCTCTGCCACCAGGCCCTCCAGTCGGGGGCCGGCACTGCCCAGCTGGGCTTATTCTCCGGATGCTGATCTTTATCTGCTTCCGAGTCAGGGCCGTCGACCACCTCTATGGTGACCTGAAGAATTCAGAACAGGCTGGGGTCAATGCCTGTCGGAGGCTGTAGACTCCGATCTAGGGGACCCTTGGAAGAAAGTCTGAGGGAGCAGAGGGAGACAATGGGCGCATCCCTCATGAAGGAACGCTGGGGTCACGTGGTGACACAGAATGGAAAACAGCCAGGGATGGTCCAGGTGAATTCCATCACTAGATGGAACATGGCCTCTGGCTGGGAGATGACAATTCATCAGTGGGGTCCCTGAGTCACCCATGACCAAATTGGTGAGAACCCTTTCATTCAAGGAGTAAACATGTATTGTATGTGTTCTTTTTTTTTTTTTTTTTTTTTGAGACAGAGTCTCGCTTTGTTGCCCAGGCTAGAGTGAGTGCCGTGGCATCAGCCTAGCTCACAGCAACCTCAAACTCCTGGGCTCAAGCAATCCTCCTGCCTCAGCCTCCTGAGTAGCTGGGACTACAGGCATGCACCACCATGCCCGGCTAATTTCTTTTTTCTATATATATATTAGTTGGCCAATTAATTTCTTTCTATTTATAGTAGAGATGGAATCTTGCTCTTGCTCAGGTTGGTTTCGAACTCCTGACCTCGAGCAATCTGCCCGCCTCGGCCTCCCAGAGTGCTAGGATTACAGGTGTGAGCCACCACGCCCAGCCATGTATGTGTTCTTGAAGGGACACTAGAATAATCAGAGGGAAACATAACACTTATTGAATACAAAATCTTTCCCAGGTTCTGTTCTGAAAGCTCTGCTGATACTAATTTATCTAACCCTCCACAACCTCCCATCCCTGCATGTGTGTGCCGCACCTCCCACCAAGAGCTGGAGTCTATTTCTCCTTCCTGGAGATCTGGGCTGACACGTGACTCGCTCTGTCCAGTGGAATGGGTAGGATCAGAATGGTGACAGGTCTTAAAAGCTCTCGTAGCTTCCGTTTTCATTGTCTTGGAACGCTCCCACCGTTAGGTAAGCTAGCGCAGCCTAGACCACTGCTTGCGTGGGGACCACGTAAAGGGGGAGGCCATGTGGAGGAGCGCCAAGGCACCTCAGTGTCCAGGCCCTGGCCACGTGAGTGGGGCCCCCCTGGACCCTCCAGCCCCGGGTGGGCCACCCCTCTTGCCACCACATGGAGGTGAGGCAAGCTCTGCTGGCTGAGCCCTGCTCCAATCCCCGACCCACAGCCATCCAGTGGTCATTGCTTCAAGCCATTAAGTTTTGGGGTGGTTGCTAGACAGCCACAGATAGCTTTTTATGGACAGGGAAAACTGGCACACAGAGATGTCAACAGCTTGCAAAAGGTCACAGAGCTAGACGAGGGGACTCTGGTTCTGGAACCCATGCTTTTACCGACTTTGTGACACTGTCTCTAGAAAAGGAAGTGAAAGAGGGACTGTACCCTCATGAGACCAAGGGAGCACAGAGGCCACAGGTGCTGGTGGGGGCTGCTTGCCACAGGGTGTGCCGAGATGTGAGCACAGGGTCCTCGAGACCAGGCTTTCTCAGCTCTGACTGTCACTTATCCCATAGTCCAGCCCCAGCCTGCACACTCCTCAGCCAACCCTCAGGGGCAGAGCACATAGTCCTGGAACCAAGGTTAGAACTTGCTCTCGGATTTACGGAGCCTAGTCTTGAAGTCTGTCACGGGGCTAGAAGAATGCAGCTTCTTGGCTCTGAGAGACAATCAATGTAGAGAAACTTGTTTAAAAAATATAATAAAAGACTCATTGGGTTCCTTTGGCCATCACTGAGCTCTTGCAACACCCCCTGGATGAGTTATGCGCAAATGAATCAGAAACATGCGCTCCAAGTAATCAGTGCAAGATGTACTGGGCAGATGCATTTCCAGTTTTGCCCTAACCTGACATCTGAGAGAGCTGCCGAGATGCTCTGCCAAATTGCACTGGGGTGTGCCCATCCCAGAGACAGATAGCCCCTTCCTTTTGTGTGAGCAATAGGAAGGTTTGAATCCTGCTCACTTTGACATTGGAAGGAAGTTGCCCTGCCTATGGTGGGCCCGGGCTGTGGTTTTGTGCAGTCCAGACATATGGTCAAGAGGGTGACCCTCAATTGCAGAGTCTACTCAGATGGGCCAAGTGCATCTTTCTCCTCTGTTGTGGGATGCCGAGAAGGGCACCACTAGCTTTATGCCACCAATTATTACCCCAATCTTATAGGCATCCCTTGCATATTTATAAGTAACTATGGAGCTTTTTAGTAATCCCCCAAAAAAGAAAAAAAGGGAGAAAAGAAAATGAATGCATCATACATCTGGTGTCATTGTTGTATGCTGAAAAGGATGGTTGCTGGGGAGTAATGGTAAGTGGGATCCACACAGGGCCTTGGAAGGACGAGTGGTGGAGGAATGGACAGCTGGGGTGGTGCAGAACCAAGCGGGGCAGTGGCAGGGCAGTGCTGAGCCTTGGAGATGTACCCTTTCTCCTCTGCAGCCCCGTCACCCTCTGCCTGCAGACTGAACAACTGAGCTGCAACAATCATCTGGAAGGCTATAAAGGGTCTTGGAGGGGAGAGGCTGCCAAGAGCCAGGCAAGCCTGCAATTATGGTAATGAAATCAGTCTCTGGGTAGGAGATAAGGGGAAATGTACCCCACAGTTTTGGTATTCCATTTGTATTCAGACTGGAGTCAAAGGGATTGCTTAAATGAGATGTGCCCTGCAATTTCTCCAAGCTGGGAATAAAAACAATTTCATGTTTCAAACTATTACCGTCAATACGATTTTCCCCCCAAATTGCTGCTCAGCTCCAAACAAAATAGATTTGTTGCCTGGCCAGGCTTTGAGTAGCAAAATACAAATTTACTCCAAAAACTATATCAATGACTAAATCTCCACACTTAGAGGTTTCTTTTTTCCCTTTAATTGCTAGCCACTGGTCCAACTGAATTTTAAAAAACAAAACAAAACAAAAAAACAAACAAATCTCAGGACCCACCCTTCCCTACGGTTAACAGAGTGGAAACCTCATACTGATATCAAAAGAAGAAATCTAGTCCTCAACCTGAAGGTTCATAGGCATCCAATTAAAAAGCCTTAATGAGCATGGTCGATGACTTTTCAAAGGGTGGGGATTAGTTTTATATTTCCTGTTGCTCTCATTCTATTTACATGTTTTTTAGCGTCAAAGAATCCTTTGAGAAAGATGTCTGGAACAATCATCAATACGATAAACCATAGGTGTGGGAGGGAGCACAGCAGAGTTGCAAGACCTTACCATCCTTTCTCGTCCTCAATACACATCATTGAAATGTCTCCATATATTTGTTTCTTCTGGACTTTTCCACACCACCAATCAAGATGCTAACAGAAAGGGAACAATTTCAAAAGCCTCAAGTCCAACTTCTGACAGAATAGCCCCAGCTCCAAGAAAGAGAGTCCAAAATAGGTGCCAATTTGGGGAATTCTGTCCAAAATCGGGGAAAGGAGAGTAAGACCCAATGCACCTTGATCCGGTTTCCTTCTCTTGATAGTTAATACTTTTATTAGAAACAAACTCTTTACTGCTGCTCTGAAATGCATTTTCCATAGGGAAACTGACACCATTCTCAGTCTAACTGATAATAAAGCAAAGCCAGTGAATATAGAGTTCATGTCCTTCAAAGCCACTGAATACAGAGTTTCATGTCCAAGAAACCCAGGAGGGTCTTCTTGCTCGTTGGTCCTCTGAGCCTTGAGCGCTGTGGGGACCTGGTGGGTATGGGTGGGCGTTTCCCAGACAGCAAGACAATTTCCTTAGGAGCACAGAACATCCAGGGATACGTCTCCTGCAAAGGTTTTGGATCCAGGCCATACTATACCCCACCTTCCTTGACAACTGCCACAGAAAGAACACAAAATGCACTAGGAAGATACGTAATCCCCTCATCTTAGATGCGCTGTCGCTCTAAAAACAGCTGTGGCAACCCCATCTAACTGTGGTTAATGCTTCGCCACTTGCAGCATGCTTGCCTAAACGTTGTTGTCTGTTCTACACAACTTAGACCCAATTTTCAGGCACAGAAACTGGCTGGGAGAATTCAAGTTCCTGAGGTAGACAGCAGGAAAGGTGGAGAGTCGGTCTCAAAACTAGAGCTTCTGATTCTCCGTTACCTGTATACACATTTCCTCTGTCACCTTCACCCCCAATGTCATCACCAACCAGCATCTACCAGTTCTGGGAAGCTTACCCTGTGCTGAGCGCTTCATATCGATGCTCTCATTTAATCCTTGCAGATAACCATACTTGCATGTAGTATCATGCAACACAGGTGCTCAGGGGTACTAGTATCTTTCTGACTTTATAAGGAAACTGAGGCCCAGAGAGGCCTAGTGACCCACACGAGGCTACAGAGGTGAAGCCTGGGTGACTAAATGGTGGCACCTGATCCCAAGCGCAAGTCAGTCTGACCGGGGACAGCAGCAGCCCATGACGATCTGAGCCATACAGGCTTGTCCCTGGAGGGGCATAAGTCTGTGTCTTGGGCACAGACATTTCTTGGTTCTTACTCAGCCAGACCTTCCATTCCAAAAGTATTTTAGAGAAAAAGGAGGAAGAGAAATCAAAAGTAGAAGCACATACAACATTTGTGGCCCTGGCCAACTCATCTGATTGTATCTGGCGGCACTCAAGAGGCCTGTGGCCATATGAATAAGTCTGTGCAAGGAAGAAAAGGCCTTTAGAAGGCTGTTTTTAAGTCCCTCCCAATGGAAGAAAAGAAATAAGTATATTGGTTGAAATGAATACTAATCTCAGATTGATCCAGAAAAGAGAAATATTTGGTTGTGAATAGCTACCATAGTCATGAACTGATGCAGTAAGCCTAATAATGAGTTCATTTTAGAGATTTTTTTTTTTCTCTCTGCTATCTGACCATCAGCTACAGACCGAAAACCCAGCCAAGGGTACTTAAACTTTAAGTCTAACCTGTCCTGGGGGATTTACTTTCTTTCCTGAATGATTTTTTCCCCCTAATAAAACTCAACTCCTTGTATTGTTTTAAATTTCACATGGAGATTCAGTTCGGGACTTTGAGGCCATTTTTCTATGTTGCACATTGTTGGTTTTTTTTTTTTTTCCCCACTCACTTCCACAGCCTGAAGCCAGTCTTAAAATAGAGATTCTGATTCTCCTGGGACAGAGAGTGCCTGACTTCTGGGGATTAAAAATGCTCTACAGAAGCAGATGTTGGGGCTTTTATAAGAATTTCCCACCCAAATGTCAAGAGGCCCCAGAGGGACGTGGCCCCTTGCACAGGCTCAGCAATGTCACTGTGGAAAGGTGCGGGCTGTTTCTGCAGGACAGACAGCGGCTGCAGCCCCGGAGCGTGGGAAACGCTGCCAGAGCCTGCAGGGCTGGGGGGTTCAGGGAGAGGGGTATTGAATTCCTGTTCGGCTCCCCAGCTCCAGCCCGGGATAACTAGGTGGGGGCCAGGGCAGGTTGCCAGGGGAAGGGGCAGATGAGGCCAGAGGCCCCGGCAGCGGAAGCCGCCCCACGGATGGGCCCTTCACCTGTCTCTACCCCGCTACCCAGGGACAGGGAATGCTTTGACGGGGCCCACCGTGACCAGCGGGGCTGTCTGCTTGGCTGAATCTGCCCTGTGTCAAACCAGTGGATTTCAACAAAAGAGCAGTGGTCTAAGGAAGGGGCGAGGGCTGCCAACACGGAAACCATCACCCCCTTTTAAAAAGCACCTCGTGTTTTAAAAGACCACCAGGGAACTGGTTTACTCAAGTGCAGTGGTGCGTGGTGCTGCAGCGGCTAGTGGTGTGTGTGTGTGTGTGTGTGTGTGTGTGTGTGTGTGTGTTTCATTCTTGGGAGTTATGGTGATCTTTGCTGTCCAAAGGGCAACCCAAGAAAAATACAGGGACCTCATAGAAGTAACACTGTTCCTCTTCCCACGCTGCCCCCCAAAGCATCTTTTCCAGAAGCACCACCTGGAGGGAAACTTTGTGCTCCCGTGCTGGGGCAGGGTTGAGACAAAGTGAAAACAAAGCATTAGTTGGGACTTTTCAACTGTAACATGCCAACATGAGCAGGTGACTTGGGAACTTGGAGATGAGAGCCAACCATTTCCACTGAGACTATCTCTGAAACCATACTTTTGTGACCCTCGTGGGGGAGTTGCATTTTTATAAAGGTCCAAGAGGTTTTGCCAGAGAGACCCTCATGCCACAAACATCCACAGCCCAGTGTGGCTCTCTCATAACTTATCCCGTATTTATTCCAAGTGTCAGTCTAGTTCTTGCCACACGCTGCGACTCCGACAGCCCCCTCTCTCCTCGGAAAGCTGGGCAGAAATGCTCCAGAGTGTTCTGCACTTCTTATTCAGCCAACAACATAGCGCATTATGATGAAAACTGAGTTGCCATCTTGGCTGCTCCACTGAGCGCATGACAATCTGTCACGTGGGCTGTAGAGGGTGCAGTGCCTGGTAGCTGCCCTCCCTCTTTTTTAGGGGGACAGTAATCTGGGGTTCCCAGCTCTGTGGCTCCCACCTGCCTTTATGCCATTGTTCCCCCCTAACATTTAAGTAATATATATATATATTTTTTTTAAGACAGAATCTCGCTTTGTTGCCCAGGCTAGAGTGAGTGCTGTGGCATCAGCCTAGTTCACAGCAACCTCAAACTCCTGGGCTCAAGCAATCCTACTGCCTCAGCCTCCCGAGTAGCTGGGACTACAGGCATGCGCCACCATCCCCGGCTAATTTTTTCTCTATATATTAGTTGGCCAATTAATTTCTTTCTATTTATAGTAGAGATGGGGTCTCGCTCTTGCTCAGGCTGGTTTCAAACTCCTGACCTCCAGCAATCCACCTGCCTAGGCCTCCCAGAGTGCTAGGCGTGAGCCACTGCACCCACGCCCGGCCTAAGTAATATTTTTAAAAGACCCAAGCAGGGTCTAGGTAGGGGATGGGCTTTTCCAGACTGATTCACTCATCTGGGAGAGAGAAAGGGGATCCTGAGAAGTTGTGCCCGAAACTGGGTTCTGAGGCTGAGCACAAGGCACCCAGTAACCTTGACAAGGGAACACTCCCTGGGCAGCCAGGTATTTTCCTGCAACTTCACATTACTAATTCTTAACTCTATTACCCTGATAGCTTGGTCCTCAGCATCATGCTGCACAAGTGACACTTCCCACCCCTGAGAAGAAACACTAGCCGCAGCAAGCTTAAGAGTGTTCTGGGCATGGCCTAAACACCCTTGGGATGAGGGCTGTCTGGTCCTGGAACTCCAAAATCTCTAAACATGTAGACGAAGACCTGATATGTTAAGCAATGGTATAAAGATGCCCATGGCTTTTTGTTCTGGCCAATCTATACCTCTCCCAAGTGGACCCATTGCTCTTTATCAGAGAGCCTTGTATCCAATTCCTGGAGGGGGCATTGGCACAAAAGACCTGTTTTTCTAATTAATCAATTTGAAAAATATAAGATTGACCAGAAATATTAATGGGGTCATGCAGTGATTTCTGTGCATGGGTTGCCAAAAAGTGGCCTCCACAACATTTTTCACTTCTGTGCCATCCACAGAGCCCTTCCCTACTTCTCCCCATCTGTTGAGATCTTCCCACCTAGGGACACAGTGCTTTTCTTCCTCTTGTCTTCATGATCCCTCTGGCACTGTCCTATGTGTGGTAGCTGGGATCTTCCCACCCATGTCAATTCCTGGAGCAAACTGGCCTTACATTTCCTAATTTCATAGCCTAATGCAGCATTTTATAATGTAGCAGAGGCTGGCTGATGTCTTCTAAGTAAGTTGTTATGAGCAAAACAGCTCTGATCAAGGAAACCTTATCTAAAACTGTATGATGCAGAGTCGAGAGAGAGAGAAAGAGAGCGAAAGAGAGAGAGAGAGAGAGAACGTAATTAAAGATCAAGTGCTCTGAGGCCAGGTTCAGGAACTTCCTGCTATGCAAGCTAATTGGCATTTGGTGCAGAGAGAAAGACTAAGGAAAAGCTGCCCCTTCACAAGCGAAAATAATTGGGAACAAAGGTTAAGAATATGGAAGCAAGTATATGAGGACAGGAGCTGGGTAGGGGTTGGATTGCCCGGGGAGGGGAGAGCCTCTCTCAGACATCTTTGGGAAGAAACAGAGGGAGGTACAAGCAGCATTCAAAACTAGAAGTTTGACTCTAAAACACAGACTAGTGGGGGAAGTATTTTTGGGAGTCTGAGAGACTGGATTTGAGCCCTACGAGTACTGTTTACTAGGCATGTGGCCTTGGGTAAACCAACTAGTAACTTCCAGACTACCTGTTGCATTATGGATGGTATTGAAAAAATGACATGTACTTTGTCTCCTTCATGAGGATGTTGGGAGGGTCAAATGAGATCAACATTTGCTTTGTAAAGTACACTGAGCTATTAATATTTCAGTGTAGATGAGAGTTACTGTTTTCAATCCTAGGTATCTAACCTCCCATTTTCCTCTGCTTCGTCCAATTCCAACTTAGAGGAAGGTATTCGTCTCTCCCCTAGGAACTTCTATTCTCACATTCCTTCCTCTTATAAATTTTTTTTTATTAGTCATTTACACTTTAGAGCAACTAAAGCTTGTCACCTGCTGAAGAAATTTCTGGTGTCCAAAGCAAGCTAGAGAGGCCTTGAGAGAAAGTGCCTTCCTGAGTGCTTTGGAATCATACTCGGGTTCGCCTTATCTATTTACATGTAAGATTGGCCCTTTCCTACAACCACTATATTTCATCAACTTTAGGGCATATTATTTTATTTTGTTTTGTTTTCATATTTCAACATCTCTGAAATTAGGATGTATCTTAGAATTCTTGGTGTGTCATACCTTAATGATTAGTGATTTCTCCTTTTGAGTGGTTCACAAAATAATGGTACATCTCACAATCAGTAGTGTGACGTAGGTGAAACGTAACACTGTTCTTGTGCAGGTCACATGATCATGGGCAGGAATGGTTAAAGGGTTAAGAGGAAAAGTAAAGTGAGGCTGCAGTTTCCATTGGAATCAGATCAGGAAACAAAACATGGACTGTTTTCGTTTTCTTCCACCTTCCAGCTGCCAAGAATTACCTGGATATTTGGATTCTGCCCATTGATATCTGCTTTGGAAAGATCTGGAAAGTTTGGTAGATCAAGGAGAAAGGATCTGGGGCCATCTCTTTGCAGTGAAGGGTGCCCAGTCTCTTGGAATGGCTGTCTGGGGAAGGGCTGGTGTGCAGCCGGGTGGTCTGGGTGCTCCCCGGGTGCTTCTTTGGAGAGAGAAAAGCCGGTTTCTGAAGTGGAGTCACTTTCCACGTTGAGGTTATTCTAAAACGAACAAACAAGTCAACAAACAAATGTTAAGGAGACACACGATGAAAAAATGCCCCCCTTAACCGTTCATTAAATTCAGGAGCAAGGACCATTTTCAGCGGCTGGAGTTAAGGCAGCATGATATTCCCAACTCATTTTGCTACCCCATGGTTTAGTTTCCCCATCTTGTAAAAGCCAAATCATCAGAAAACTTCCTTCAGCCTGCTACCTGGGAATTTTCTGAGGGTTAGTGAGGTATGGGCTATTTATTAAGCATCAAAGCACATCAAAACTAAAATACTATTTGGAAGAAGAATAGGTGCTCATTTAAACCTGGAACACAATTATGTTGTCCTTCTCACAACTTCAACTGATTAATCGTGCTGGCTTTAATTACTGCTCTAGTGTCCAGAGTTGGTTTTTTTGGTGTGTGCCATGGAGCAAAAGAGCTGACCACGCTGGCTAAAATACTTGAGGCAAAGTATTGATGATATCCATCTATCCATTTGTTTGTCCATATGTCCATCAATTCATCCATACATCCACCCATATATTCCTCTATCCATTCATCCATCTATCCATCTTTTCATCCATCCATCTATCAAACATCCATTCATCCATCCATCCATCCATCCATCCATCCATTCATCCATCCATCCATCCATCCATCCATCCATCCATCCATCCAATCAACAAATACCAACATTCTAGGCACAGGAGATATAGCAATAA